TCTAGACCTGCAAAAAATCAAATTGTTGTCCCATATGGTGTTTAAGACCTGTTCTAAGATTTATTTCCAAAAGAACACCAATTAACCTACCTGTGATTCGTCCAACTTTATTGGTTGCATGATTTCCTGCAAAACCTGCAACGTGGGCACCAAGACTGTAGCCAATGAGGTGCAACTTCTCCAGAGGAACCCTGGCAGTCTCCTTATGAATTGGGCACAATGATGGCAAATAAAAACCTAGAATAGCAGTATGTGTAATTTGATTTGATTTGATTTGCTAACACAAACCTCTAACCAGTCTATGAACAGTCCAGTCTCTTGTCCCACCATCTTCGTGTTTTGTGCTGCCACCACATAATGGTTCTGTGCCGTGTCCAACCAGTCCACAACAATGACGTTAGCATCCTTCTCCCTGTTATAAAGTGCGGCAACTAGTTTCTCAACCCAGCTCTCAAACAATCCACTTACCTAGGGGAAAAGAGCTAATTTAACACTAACATACTGAAAAAGAATCAGCTGAATTTATGGAATGCTTGTAACTGTTGCTTTACCGTCCACCCATGAATGACCAAAAAGGTTTTTGAAGTGTTTTTGAAGTTGCAGCTGTTGAGAGTCTCTGGTTTGCCACGCACAATGTAACACACGTCGTCATCTGGTTGGGACGGGTTTCTCAGAGAAAACTTGACATTGGCTTTGTTGACATCTGACAGGTCTCGTAGATCCTCCAGAAAATTATCTATGTAAAGATTGAAAAAGCAATATAGTACTATTAAAATGTACTTTAAATAAAATACATTAAAAAGTCCACATAAAAATGCAATATAAAATTTTTAAAAAGTAATTTAAAAAAAATAATTTTAAGAAGTATTTTAAAATTCTATAATATTAGAATTATAAAATTGAGCATGCAAAAATATAATATCAACATTGGTCATTGAAAAATATTCAAATAAAAATTTATATAAATAAAATAAAAATTAAAAATATAAAATTAAAAATGTAATTAAAAATACATGAAATACACTGAAAGTGACACAACATTGTAAAAAGTAAAATTAAAATGTCTATGGAATAAAAAATAAGTAAATTATTTTGTAATTATAAATATTATAAAAAATCTGCATTATGATTATAAAATTGTATGTAAATATAATATATTAAGATATACTATTAAAATAAATGTATTCGAAATTATTATCATTAATTGTAATTAAATAGCTATTAAATCCCATTAAAATAACATTTGAATTGAAGGCATTAATTGACAATCTTACATGAAAACTGTAATTTTAAAAAGAAAAATATATATATATTTTAATTAAAAATTTAATATTTAAGTAAAAATAATATATACATAATATAAAATAAAATATGGAATAATAAACATTAGGTTTAAAATTGTATATACTTGGCATGCTTAAAACAGGTTATGAGAGGACAATAAATATTTCCATAGTTCAGCTCAGTTGACATAATAGGTGGGTGGAGCCATAATATGCTTACTATACCCAATTGTCACACCTTTAATCGATGGGATATCAGATTGCTCTGAAGATTAGGCTACCTTGTGATGAGTATGAACTTGAAATGTACTTTTAAGAAATCCTCCATAAAACATCTAACATCTAAGTAGACTCGAACAAATGTTTAGTAAAAGGGCACCGGTGCCTTCTACAGGCTAATTCATGGATTTAAAAGCTCAGACAGATGCCGGATATTAAAGTTTTCCCATCATAAATGCAGGATTTGCGGTAGGAATTGAAAACACAGACATTACAAATTAAAGAATCGCGTCGCTTCCAAATAAAATAACGCCTCAGGTTATCCGAATGCATTTCTCACAGCGCAACAACAAACATTTCAAACAACTTACCAAAGAGTTCGTTGGAGAAGATTTCTTTCTCCAGAGCAGCGACGAACAGACCAATGAAGCTTAATACGAGCCACCAAACGCATTGGAATGACAAAATGTTCATGTCTTTTCTGCGTAAACTTTGGGCGCTTGTGATCCTCACCTGTCGCGCTCCGTTCAACTTAAACTGAGAAAATAAAATATTGGCAAACTCCCGGTGCTGCTTGAATACTCGCTAATGAAATCTGAGACTCAGACTTCAGTTTAGTTACTAAATAGCACTAGTAAGAGCCATTGGTCTCAGCCCACAGGCGGGGTAATACGGTCACGCATTTGTTTAAAGAGCTGTGTAAGTTTCACGAGGTTCTTTACCATAATAACACATGCAGTTTTAACCTTGAACTGACCTTCTTTTACCCAAATATGAAAATTCTGTCATACTCACTTTCGGATCATTTTAGATCCATGTGGTCTTCTTTCTTTCATGGAGCGAAAGGAGAGGTGAACAGGAGAGAGGAAAGTGAACATCTATCTATCTATCTATCTATCTATCTATCTGGCAAGGTTCTCCCCAAGTTATGAACAAATGTTCTTGCAGTAACAGTAATAGAACATTTGACTGCAGTTATCTGGTCTTTAATAATGTTCTAAAAATGTTAGCACAAAAACATTATACATCATTGATGAAAAAGTTTATTTTTGTATCGTGTTGGTTTGACGTTCGTGTAATGTTATTTAGGCCTACTACTTGATTCAGAAAGTTCTGAGAACATTCAAAAAGTAACATTTCCATAGAATGTTCCTGTAATGTTCATATAACCAACAACAAAAAAAGTTTTTAAAACATTTAAAAATGAGTCATTTTGAGCATTCAGAGAACATTTAGAAATAACGTATATAAACTTATTGAACATTAGCAAAATGTTCTTAGAACATATTTATAGAACATATCTATCTATCTATCTATCTATCCAGATCTCATTAAATGACGTGGGCTATTATTGTCTGCATTAATTTTTTGTCTCCAAATGGACACTTTTGGTCTTAATTCTCCCGTTTATAAGATCATTCTCCTGAGGAAATTAAATCTCACATGTCTCTTCAAGAGTTTCAATAAAGATCTCAAAGTCTCAAACTGTGCTCAGATTTGCAGACCAAAGTTTAATGAAATGATTTGAGCCATTACTGCATTCATTTTATAGTTCTGTAAAATATTTTGGAGTTCAAAATTTTACATTTTTTGTTGCATTAAAATTTTTCAGTTGTTTCAGCTATCTATCTATCTATCTATCTATCTATCTATCTATCTATCTATCGCTCTATCTATCTATCTATCTGTCTATCGTTCTATCGTTTTATCTATCTATCTATCTATCTATCTATCGTTCTATCGTTTTATCTATCTATATATCTATCTATCGTTCTATCTATCTATCGCTCTATCGTTCTATCTATCTATCGTTCTATCTATCTATCTATCGTTCTATCTATCTATCGTTCTATCTATCTATCTATCGTTCTATCTATCTATCTATCTGTCTATCTATCTATCTATCTATCTATCTATCTATCGTTCTATCGTTCGTTCTATCTGTCTATCGTTCTATCTATCTATCGTTCTATCTATCTATCGCTCTATCGTTCTATCTATCTATCGTTCTATCTATCTATCTATCGTTCTATCTATCTATCGTTCTATCTATCTATCTATCTATCTGTCTATCTATCTATCTATCGTTCTATCTATCTATCTATCTATCTGTCTATCTATCTATCTATCTATCTATCTATCGTTCTATCGTTCTATTGTTCTATCTGTCTAGCTATCATTCTATCAATTGTTCTATTTATCATTCTATCTATTGTTCAATTTAAAACCATGTTTTAAACTTCTTTTTATAAATTTGTCATGCATTTGTCTCACTTCACATATTCCTATGAAACTGCGCAGATCTCTAGTTTGAATCTAAAGCTTATAGGTTGAATAACTATGTAAATGACTCAGACAGGTTTTAGACCCTTCACTTCAAACTGACCTTTGGTGGCAACAACCTGTTATTTCATGAAAATTGACATAGGTTATGTCAGTATTCATGCAATTAATTCATTCAACATGGAGGAAAGAGAAAAGTAAAGTCTCTTTACTTGACATTTGAGAGAACAAAGACTTGTAACTCATTATGTGCCAATACCCTCAGTGCTCTTTGCATGCATTGTGTCATAGTCATACTATAACACTCAGACCCTGCCAAAACTCTGTGACACCTGCACTGTGGTCATTCCTTCCATTTGTTATAACAAGGATCAGGCACCAGAATTGCTGGTTTTATCCAGAATATTCTTAGAGAACAAAAACATAACTAATAACCTGTCACATGTTCTTTAGCAGATTGAAACGCTTCTAGAAATCATTGTCCACCATAACTCAGAGGAGCTTGAATATGATTTCTAAGAAGAATTAGAAAGTGGTAAATCAAAGTCTTCATTTAAATCTCTGTATCTAACTTTTTTATTCCTTAATGTGATAAACTGGCAGAAGTATGGTATATTCCAAAAATTTAACGCTGCAGTTTCACAACAGTCTCTTGCAGAAGGTTCTGACTAATCAAAGTATTGGAATGTTGTATTTTCATTCCAAGAACTTGTTCTTCCACGAAAAAAGGAAGGGGATCTTGAAAAACAAACGCATTGTGTTTTGATTCGAGGCTACTGCACGTGAGTCGCTCTCCCATTAAACAATGTGAGTCAGTTCACTCTTTTTAAAAATTTTTTTTTACAACAGCTATTTGAATGGATGAAGCTTCATTCACATAACATCTTATATGAATGAAGCTAATGTGAACAAAACAATGACAGGTGGTTGTTTTATTTGGTTTTTATTACTTATTAGATTAATATATATATATATATATATATATAAACAACACATTCTAAAAAGATTAAGGCCCTGCGAAATACGTCAAGTCCCAGATTTTTGTTGATGCTGTGAAATTTGCAGCCAATTTCAAAATAGTTTTAATTTGTTTAAGACCTGAAATATCAAAAACATTCCTAAAGAGGATTTAAAAATGACATTATACAAATTAAATGCAGACATGTCATTCGCACATAAAATGAAGATTTAAATAAAAAATGCAAAGCGCTCACATACAGTAACATAATGTTTATTAAAATGACATCATACAGTGCACGGCATATAGATTCATATGATCACAACTGATCATTTCTTTTCCTTCCAGTGACTTGAATCAATCAACGTTTGTTTATAAAAATAGAGAGGCTACATAATTCAAAAGAAAAGGCAAGAGCACTTCAGAAACATGGAATACATATATTATGTGCTTAATATACAAAAATATACATTTAATAAATAGGAAAAAGGAACAGTTTTGGTGTATTTGTGGCTATTATGTGGGGCAGTCAACCCTGTCAGGCCTGGACAACTGTCAACATTTCTTAGATCAAAGGCATCTTGTTTTACTTCTTGGCTGGCTCATGCATAAACTAAAGTCGTTTCTTGCCTCATTATTTTCTCAAAATGCAGACGAAACAATCTTTGAGTTGCTTTGAGGGTGACGAGAAATAAAACAAAAGTGGCAGAATCGTTTGTTGATTTTTCTCTTTTACCAAACAAAACTGAATTGAAAGAAGTGACAAAAAAACAACACAACAAAATTGAATTAGCAGAATCGTTTGTTGATTTTGCTCTTTTACCAAACAATACTGAATCAAAGGGAGGCAAAGCCTTTAAAGTGACCTGTGCCAGACAAAATAACCCAAGAACTGAAAGAAAGGTAGACATTTAAAGAGCTGTTTGTAAGTATATATAATGACAATTACAAATATTTACAGTAATAATTTCATCTTGATTCAGCAGAGAGAGGATTTGGTCCCATTTTTTTGTTAAAGCAATTCAGACTGATTTTCGGTTGCAACAGACAAATCTAAAAGTTTTGCTTTCGGAACTGAAGCAAAGAGGATTAGCATAGCTACAAAACTGCTCTGGTACAACCTAATTCACAGTACAACCAAACAAACGGCTAAATAACCTAGTTACTAAGTGGAATTTCAAGAGTAATACTGATAAACCAAATAAACCGTAACATGTTTCGAGTGGAATCTTTCTCCAAAAGAAGAGTCTCTTTGGTGGACAACTAGCCAAACATTTTAACTAAGTCCAAGTCATTTTTAGATAGACTGGAACTGATTACTTGCATAACTATGTTGCATGGAGACTTGATCATTTTTATGGATTAAAGACGCAGGAAAGATTGTCTAGCCAGATCTCAGATGACCTGTAATGTGTCTTGAGTGGTATCCAAAGTGATTGTTTTGTTTTAAAACTGCACAGCAGCAACATTTTTAAGATGTGGTTTCTTGCAGGATGTGTTTCTGGATTTGCGTGGGGTGAAGGTTACTAGTCCGAATATTCGGGAAAGGTTTTGTCTCAACCGTTCCAGTTTTCCCTGGCAGATTCCGTGCCAGATCCCAGCAGAGGTGGATTTTGACGTGTCTTTACTCGGTGCTCTGTTTGAACGAACTTCCGTGCATCTTCAACTTGTGCAATCTGCCAGTGTAAAGTGCACAGGGTTTAGTCAAACAAAACTCACCACAACAAATAAAACAGGAACATAATAACTGAGCAGGGAAGGTCACTTTTATGGAGCCGTGTCAACAGATGGGGCAGATGGCAGATAGAAATTTACCTCTGGTTTTTGCGGCTCGACTGGGTTTCTTTCTCTTTCATGAAGACGGCGGCCTCACCTCCACGGGAAAGGTAGGAAAATTCACCTTCTTTGGCACTGAAGATGATCCTAGATCAAAAACAAACATACATTCTGAATTTTGCACAAGTTTTAAAGGTATAAAAAGTACAAAATAAAAATGTGATGCAATAAAAATGCACATCAATAGTAATAAAGATAAAACTGTGTATTCATTATGGCAAAATAATATATAAAAATAATATTACATATAATTATATAACATAATAATTATATTAAAAAAAATTTAAGTTGTCAAAATATGTTTCTCTCTGCTTACTTAGACTGTCTTTCTCCTGATTTGATGCGTAGTTTGCGGATGTGGAAGGTATCGGGGTTCCACCATGGCCAGCTGATGAGGGTGTCTTTCTCCCAGAGAAGTTTTACCATCAGCAGCTCTCCGATGTCTGTGTCCGTGGTCAGCAGGAAAGACATGGTGGTGTTCGTGTTCAAAGCAGGCCTGTGGATTAAAAAAACCATCTCTATCACTTTCTCTGTTATCTCAGTTCAGGACGGAGTCCAATCTGAGGCAAAACATGGTCTAAAATAGTTGCATGGCCTATTTTTTGGTACCATAAAAAAAATCACTGAAACCAAAGAAAGTCCAAGATCTTTCTTAGTATATATCTTAACATTGCATTTGTAGTTAATTTAGAACTAGTGTGAACTAAGTCCTGACATATCAATCAGGAAATGCTGCTAACTTACATAATGTAGGGGATATTTTCCTTCTCGCCATGGATTCCGTACAGTGAGATCTTCATGGGCTGATCAGTGTAGCTTAATTTTGTCTTGCCGAAGAAGTGGACCTTTACTTGATAATGGAAAACTGTGGAAAGATGGTTATATTTAGAAAGGATTTTTAATATAAAATTTAAAAATCATCTAAAAATCTAAATTTATATAAAAATAAAATACATTCTTTATTTGTTTTATTAATTTCATAAACTTTGGTGCTCCTCACCTTTATATGGCATCACGTCTCTGGTCTTCATGTACATCTTGCTGCTTCTGCGTGTGCGAATTTTGTTGACTCCGTAGCCCACCTTGTTGCAGCGGTTCTTGCGGCAGCTGAGGCACATGCCCTTGTTGAAGCTGTCTTTGGAGCTGCAACGGTAAGCAAAGCTTTCTTGCTCCTGGTTCACCAGCGAGTCGATGAACAGGTGGATGGAGCGCTCGTGGGAGCACTTCACGATCTGATCCATGTCTGTGGAGAACCAAGAAAAACATTGAAGCTTGTGTTGAAATCTAAGAACGTCTGAGGAGGACAGTGGGAACGTACTTCTTAAACCAGTGGTGGCCACCATCAACACAGTGTTCTGGAGGTCACAGCCGGGTTGGAATGTTCCTCCGTTGGGGTAGATGTCTATGTGGCCCACTGGCCTCTGAATCCCAATGCTGCGATCTGGGGAACCGCGGGTGTTGGTGTGAAGAACGTCCACAAAAAGGGCATCATCGGGAGAAAGAGTGCTTTGGGCATCTGCGTACTCAAAACTAGGGCCAGCAGGATCCATGCCTGAAGATACAATAAGATTGGTCCATTAATGGTTAATCAATGCATTTTTATGGGTAAATTAGAAAAGTGACACCCTAGGAAACAACATCAAGTTACCTGTGATTCTGTTAACTTTATGTTTGGTAAGAAGACCAGCGATTCCTGCTACATGAGCACCAAGACTGTAGCCCAACAGATGCAGCCTCTCCCAAGGATAGTCAATCTCAGCCTGGATGAAGAAACCAGAAAATATGAAGTTTACTGCATAAAACAAACTCTATATCTTCATCAGATGCTCTTCATCTTGACGTAGAACAAATCACCTCCGAGTGTTTGACATACCTGTAACCAGTTGACAAACTTGGCCACATCCCTCCCCACTAGTTTGGTGTAGGCAGCTGATGTAGGGTAGTGTTGTTGCGCGCGGGACAACCAGTCCACTACAATCACGTTGGCTGTTGGCTCTCGATCATACAGGGCTGTTACCAGTTTGGGAACCCAGCTTTCAAACATACCCGTGACCTGAGACGAAATCATTGGCGTCATGGTTTGGACTGCTTTGCACATTCACTCAATGTTGTCAACAAGTGTAGTAGAAACACTCACCGTCCATCCGTGAATAACTATGAAAGTCTTGGTGTCTGGATTGAAGTTACATTCTTTGATGGTTTCGGGTTGGCCTGGAACTATGTAGCACAGATCGTCTTCAGGTTCTTCGCTGGTCCTGAAGGAAAACTTGGACTCAATGTCACTGAAGTCCGTCATCCATTCTGTGGCATTTTCCATGATGTTGTCTGTCAAAATCCAGATTAACAAGTTTAACTGCAAGCAAGGTAAGTGCAGCCTACATTAAGTGCTTTTTACTTGTAAGCTGCTTATAAAAAAATTAATTATTGAAGTTGTAAAGAAGCTTATCTTGCATGTGCTTATACTTTTCACTTATTTTGTATATGAGGAATTATTTCCAAATGGCAAGCTTGGATCCTTTCCCAGTGCTTGACTGACTATACATAAAAAATAGTTTTGCTATAAGTCCTTCAATATGTATTCATAACTGACTGGTCTGGCATGTCAAATACATGTAAACAAAGTCTCAAACAACAGTTTGACATGATAATTACTGTGTCGTATATATTAAAGTCAAAGTTTACCATTTATTTAGATACTATTAAGTTTTATAGATAATGTTTACAAATCATCAAGCTTGGAAGATATTTTAAAAGGTAAAAGTTGATGAAAATAGACTGACCATAACAAGACTTGAAGGAATTAATGACATTTACAAGCGCCATATAATAATAAATGCTACGTAAAAATACAAAAGATTAATAAAACCAAGAACAAAATGTACATTACTTTTTTTTTTACCAAAATATTTTTTGCACCACCAAACATGGTCTTTTAAGACATAAAAATAATAATGCAGTATATAAAATAACATATAATTGTATAAATAAAAAATACAAGTAACAATACATTTTGTAACATTTTGCACCATCCAAAATTATTTTCTGAGACATAATTTATAAATATAAAAGTATACATTTATATAAAGATAATGCATAAAGGTATAAAATTAAAATGCAGTAAAATAAGGTCATGCCTCCTACATAACTTATGCGGTCATACTGGTGCAATAAGATCGTTTTCTGATATTTGTCACTACTGATATTTATTATTCGACTTCCAGTTAAGCACCGGAAACGTGTAACTTGAACACTTTTTAAACTTTATAAACAACATTCATTCTATGATTTCATAAAACAAATAAGCTTATACTTACTAAAAGTGGCGAATCCACTCGCTGGCTCAATCGTAGTTGCAAAACCCGAGGAAATGTAGACCAAATACATCCAAGATATAAAACAAGCGCTGCTTACTCTCCCCATATTAATATAATTATAATGATCACGGATGCAACAACTTATTATACTGAGCGTAAAAGCCGTTGAGACCCGGGTATTTACAGCGTTACAGCAGGTTAATATTCCAGTTGGGGGGTAGCAGCTGCTTGATATCTTGTGTCCAGAGTTTCTCTCAAGAGTTTAAATCATTACCGCTACAAGTGTGTCTTTATCCTCCCGTGCGGGACCGCATGCAAATCAGTGAAATTCTATTGGTCAAGAGAGGCGGGGTAAGACCTGATATGACCAATAAAACGCCAGGAACCCCCACACTGACGTCAATTACATGTCTATGAAGTTGTGAGGCCCCTGAGAGTCTACAAGCAAATCAGTTTATCAAGCACTTTTTTTTGTTGGTGAAATCCAGTTCCAATTCATTTTTCTGAATCTAAGGTATTACAAAATATAAAAATACAAACGTGTTTTAAAAAGTAAATTATTAATGAGTTATGAAGAATATGTTTTTAAATTACACTTTTAATTGTTTACTTTTACATTTAAAGTCATTTTTATTTAAAAGTTACATCAATAGAAAAAAAGTAGTCTAACTATAACTGTATATTGTAAAACTATTAAAAACTGAATTAGCTGACTGTAATTAGGCATAATCATAAATCTTAAAAATAATCAGGGACTTCTGTCAAAGTTGTGTGGTAGACTTTTATATCATGAAATGTATTTATTTAATTACTTACCTACTTACTAGTTAAATGTTGGCAATATCCCTGCCTTTGTATTCCTACAATTCTGATAGATTTTCAGATTTATGTGAAGGAACCCATTCCTGTTTGATCATCACAGTCTACTCAAGGTCATCACAACCAACTGATAAAATCGCCCACACTGTTTGATCAGCGCTTTGAAACAAATGAAAATGTCACTTTAAATTCAAACATTGTACACCGTGTTCACACAGAATGCCTACCGGCTACCGCTCAACTAAAACACACCTGCGGGAATATTTGCCAAGTTAAAAACCAACAATATAATGTGTGCCAATCACAGCTTGCTCTTGGCAGCATATGGAAGAGGGTCACAAATATCAGTGTGATTTGCATTCAGGGAGACAGACGGTCAGTGGGCGTGTTTAGCCACCCTGCGTCTTATTGGCCAGACAGCAGTGAGCTGACAGACAGCCAAGACTTTTTAATGTTTTAGCAATGTTTCATCACTTGCTCACCAATGGATCCTCTGCAGTGAATGGGTGCCGTCAGAATGAGAGTCCAAGCAGCTGATAAAAAAATCACAATAATCCAAAAAGAATCCACATGACTTCAGTCCATCAATTAATCTTGTGAAGTGAAAAACTGTGAGTTTGTAAGAAACAAATCCATCATTACCGTTTTTTAACTTTAAACAGTCGCTTCTGGCCAAAATATGAGTCCATAATCCATAATAATGCTTCCTCCAGTGAAAACGTCCATCCCCTGTTGTCCTCTCACATCAAAGACCACCTGTTTAGAAACGCTTTGGACCATTTTCGCTTGCAAATAGTGCTTGAATTGTGCATAGTTCTCTCAAGATTCAGACAAGACAACTTTTTTTCACTGGAAAAAAGCTATATTATGGATAGAGGACTCATATTTTAGCCGGAAGCCGGTTTGAAGTTAAAAACATCTTATTCATGGATTTGATTCTTACAAACATGCAGCTTTTTGCTTTACTTGAGTCGTGTGGATTGCTTGTGGTTTACTGTAATGTGTTTATCAGCTGTTTGGACACTCATTCTAACGGCACCCATTCACTATAGCTGATGATGAGCAAGTGAAAAAATGCTTAATTTCTCCAAATCTGTTCTGATGAAGAAACAAACTCATCTACAGTACATCTTGTATGGCCTGAGGGTGGGTACATTTTCAGCAATTTTTCTTTTTTTTTGTTGAACTATTCCTTTAATATAATGTTAAAAATGCTATTTTGGTTTGGATGAAGAACTTTTGGAAAGCTTAGGTAATCCTAAATGGCCCAACCCAGAAATTCCAAAGCAGACAACGCCTAACGCCTGTTTATGGTTATGGTTTGTCACATAGAAATCAGTGTTAAAATTCGGTATTTACTGTGCTCTGGTAATATTATCTTAATGAAAGACTGCAAATGAGATGTAGTTTCCACCTAAAATGTTCACAGTTTGATGTACTAGGCCTCCACAAATGTGTTTTTATATATTCAAATGCATATTTAATTTCTGAAGCATTGGGAGTATATCAGCATTGCTGTTTAAATAGATGTTGCAAATTTGTTGCATGTATAAAGTGCAATGAAATAGCAGCACTGAATACAACAACATCAGACTCACAGATTTGCATCTTTTACACAGTTCAGGGAAATATGTTAACAGTGATTCCAAATGTTTGCGAGAGCACTAAATAAAACCCATCTGGTCAAGGCCATGACTCAAACTTCCAAGGCTTTCATCTTTTAGTCTTATCCTTCATTCCCATCTCGAGTTTAGCAAAGGTTTTTTGATTACATAAATGAGGCCAGAGCACCAGTCTCTTGATAGCTGCATCTAGCTGCATTCATGTTGAAACATTAGGATTGCAGAGTCAGATCCCGATGGGCATGAAACTAATGCCCCGTTCAGCTGTGAATGTTGTAACTTTGTCTGCTTAAACCCTCAAAAGGGGTAATTGGAAAGATTTAGATTTTGTCTTGTTACACCTATGAAAAAAGATTACTACAAATAATAAAATATAAAAAATAAAAACTTTAAAAGAATAAAATATATATTATTAATGCTGTCAAATGATTATAATAAGTTAAAATTAATCATAATCTTTATACATAATGTAAATAAATTATTTTATGTATTTATTTTTTATATATTTTTAAGAATTAAAAAAAATATATTAATAATTTATTTTAATGCATTCAGTACTTTCTGAGAAAAGAAAATAATATTTTTAGTCATTTTTTTCACCCATCTATAGTAAGAGGATGTGAGGAGTTTATAAAAATAATCGGAAGTCTCGCTTCTCAAAATTAATGTGTAAGAGGTTTCTTCGTTTTTTTAATAGAATGTTTATTTTAGATTCACGTCACTCATCGGAAGTCATGTTGAAATTATGGCCAATGACAATGCAAAATGTCAGATTATGACAAATATTGATGTAGAATAAATAGCCTATAAATGGGCATGCAGCTGTTATTCATGGAAATCAATGAAAACGCATTATGAAACATTTTTTATTTTTTTTACAATAATAAGGTGATTTTAAAGTTATTTCTATAAGATTTTTAAACATTTTATCAGATACACAATGTGTTAATTGCATTTTGGCATCTTCATTGTGCATGAAGTTGTAAAGCTATACAAGGTGCTTCTTATAAAGAAAATTTAGTGCTGATATTTCTTCAGAACAGAGTTGACATTTTTAAGATTGCCCTCTACTGACAAACACACAAAAAGATATGATAAATTAAAAAGTAGAGAATTTAGATGATGATGAAAAATGAACAAAAATATAAATAATGGCAAGGGTTGATATCTGGGGACAAGTTTTAAGACTTTTGAGTAAGACTTCTGTCAAGTAAACTGAAATGTACATGTATATAAATGCTAAATAAATAAAAACTAAATAAAAAATTCTAGCTTCTAGTAGCGTACCATTTTTTTTCCAATCAAAATATGCATGTTTGCAATATCGTAAGAGTTTAAATAGAGTTTTTCCCTATAGTCCTACTTAAGCATTATACATCTGCGTATTTAGATTTATTCAGGAGGGGGTTTAGACATTTTGACAGAGCAAATAAAGGCTACAAGCCTCCCGACAGAATCCAGTCACGTGCTGATGAGGGCTTTCTCTCAGCTTGAGATAAGCCTCATTTGTTTTGCTTTCAAAGCCGCGAATGGTGAAGTTCAGCGAATGCAATGGATTAGCATTACATTCAGTTGCGGCTCTTCTGGGTCCTTTAAAGGGGAAGTCGTCCAAAATGTTGGGTGTCATTAGTGAGCAACAGCTGGCCGACTCGCTGCTCTCAGAGAACTGTGGGAGAAATCCAAGTGTTTAATCTTTCCCAGACAGCTGGCCCATGATGAAGAACACCCATGTGATTCCCTTTGCACACCACTATTTTTTAGTCCTTTGCGGATGAATCAGACGATAAAAGACACATGCAGTTGACTTTAATCCCCGTTGTGACATGAATCTGTTCCGTGACTTTTAAAAGTGATTCATTCAACAACAGCACATGGGTGATTTTATAATTGGAGATACATTTGGTATTTCATGAAGTTAAGGGGAAAAAAACTGTTCACTAATAGCAATTCTTTCCAGTATCTTATTGAAAACATATTCAATTTTAATAATTCAGTGCTGGCCAAACACAAGTTACTTCCTTTTTTTACTTTTAATGGGAAAAAAAAGAAGAAAAAAATATGTTTTTATGGTATTGTTTGTCAACTCTGTTACGGACAAATTAGGCAATGTGGAAATATTATAAGGGTGCATCATATCTCAATTATTTTTTATGAGATTTTAAACAACAATTGTAAAAATAGTGAAAATAGTTCATAAACAGAGTTGACCCTTTAAGTAACAGAATTGTAAAGTAACAGAATTGACAGAATTTTTTGCCAAAAACTCCACTTGCTAGCATAAATGCTAAGAGCACAAGACACTAATGAAATCATGATTAAAATACCTTTAAATAACCCAATTTGTGATCAGTAATAAATTTGGTTTTCCTTTTGATATTGTGGTAACAGTGTTGACGTTCTTCAAAATAACTTAAATAACTTTTCAGATTAAAATATTTTCTCAGAGAGAGCACACAGACTTTTCAGTGCTTCAGATCTTATCAGTGAGGGAAAGAGTCATCATTTCCTGTATCTTACATAGTTGTGGGAGATAATTCCACCAATTTGAAGGCAAAATATGGTACGGTAACAAGAGTTGACGCAAGATTTAAGGACACACATTTTTATAAGAAAAAAGTTATTTGTAAACAATTTAATGTTGTAGAATTAAGTAAATTATTATTTAGGGCTTTTATCAATAAAATGAATGAAATATTACAAAAAGAAAAGTACAATAAAATATTTTGATTACACAGTGATACATGATGGAAAAAATGCACTGACTCATTCGGACAACAAGAAATCATGATTTTGAGCTATTTAAGACACTTTTTACACAAATTGTTATTGACTGT